CTACTCAAAAATCATTTTTTCCTTCTCAAAACTTAGCCAAATACCTTAATTTTGAAAAAAAAATAATACTTTTGCTTAAAAAAAAAAGAGAGAAATTTTATTCTCAAAACTCAAATTTGCTTAACCAAATGTTTTATTCCTATTTTCAATCTTCAATCAATTACTCAACAAAAAAAGGAAACAAGGCTTTTCTTCCCTCTCTCTCACACACAGTATGTGTGTGTCTATGGTGAATTGATGCCACCAAAGCACAACACAAAGTGGTCATCCCCACTTCCACACAACTCTTCATTCTTCTTCTTCAACTAACACAATATCTCTTTCCCCTTTTTTTTCAGTTTCCCTCTTTAGGGTTTTCTTTCTTTCCCTTTTTTAACAATCTAAATGTATTATATCCCACAACTAAACAATCTGATTCAATTGTTACAAAAATACTCATTTTTTTTCCTTTCTGGGTCTTTTTGTTTTGGTACAGAGCTACCAGAATTTACTCATTTTGAAGCATTTTTGAGGTAAATTGTGAATCTTTTTTGCTGATTTTTTTGTCAAGAAAAGCTGCTTTCTTTGATATAAGCTTGAAAATTACTTTTTTAAGCTTTCTGTATTATGGAGTGTTAAATTATCAATTTTCTTTGTATTTTTCTTCTTCTGAATTTTGACATGATTGAACAATTACCTACTTTTTTTTATTGCATTTAAATTGATATTATATGTAGATATGGATTATCTTTATTTGATGATACATAGAGGATCTGTGTTCTGGAATTTTGATTTTTGAAGTTCTAGATTTACTGTGTGGTTGTTTGAAAATTGAAATCCACCTTTTAAAACTTTTTTTTCTTTATTCATGGAATAAGTCCTATTATCCCTTATTTATCTATTGCTAATTTAGTGCTGGTGAGCAGCGTATGAGATTTACTCCAACTGTGAATATTAGACAGAGTTTTAGTTGCCTGTAAGGGTTAGTTGCTCTGTGCAAATACAAGGCTTCTATTCTTGATTGAGTTCTTTTTGCAGAGCATTGAATTTGTTCCTCGTGGTGCTTTGAAGCTTGGCCTATAATTGATTTCTTGTCGAAGGAAGACAAAGTTGCGCTTTCAGACTTCTTTGTGATTATTGCTTCCTATCTTTAGTAAGTTGACTAAGGCGGATGGAGACTGCGAAACGATGGTTCAGTAAGCTTGGCAAAAAAGATAAGCCCAAGCCTCCGAAGAAGCAAGAAACTACTACTAGTAATGGGAAAGAAGGGTCAAAATTGTCGTTACATGAGGAAACACCTTCAACTGCCACTAAACAGAAAGCTGCAGCTGCCAAGCAGTACATAGAAAAGCACTACAAAGAACAAATGAAGAGCTTGCAGGAGCGTAGAGAGCGGTATGTTAGTTCTCCTTTTTCCATAGGATGACTGTGAATTAGTATTGGTCATTCCTAGATGCATGTGCTTGCAAACGTTCATTTGATCATTGGTCCGACTTGTATTAACTGCGGTTGCCAGTATGCAATGAAGCAATTTGTACAGCCAACCAAACTAACAGATTATATTACTTCAACTAAAGGATTACAATAATGGAATTGCAAGGACACAATAGGTAATATTTAAGAAATAGAGAGTGAGATGAGAAGAGAAGTACCGAAGAAATTGATGAGAGATACAGAGAGAAAGAGATGAGAGATTGCAGAAGCACAATGCAACAAATAGCCTAATCTGTTATTCCTTCTGACAAGTACTTATAACCAATTCCACTCCTTCATACGCTGCTTCACTCACACTTGCCCATCACGTTTGTTAGCGAGGCCCACAATGAAATCAGCCAACCTTTTAGAGGGGAATTTCACACGATTGCTCTTTCTCAATTGAGTATTATTGATATCCTCGGTGTCAGCTCTGCTGTCCTCCACGTCACCGCCTGGGTTCATAACAATACTCTCTTCCTGCGAAAGAACCTTGTCCTCAAGGTTCCGGGCATCCTCAACAGTGGGGGGCTGGAAGTTCGATAATTGCAATGGTGTAATCTGCGAAACTGGTTCTCCCACACATCGCTTGAGCATTGAAATATGGAAAATAGGATGAATGCGTGCAGTATCCGGAAGATCCAACTTGTAGGCAACCTGACCAATTCGTTTAAGAACTTGAAAAGGACCGAAGTAACGTCTTCCTGGCTTGGGGTGTTGTTGCAATCGAACAGAGTTCTGGCGATATGGCTTAAGCTTGACGAACACCCAATCTGCTACCTCAAACTCAAGTTCAGTTCTATGCTTGTCAGCTAGTTTCTTCATTCGTCTCTGGGCCTTGATCAAATTGAGCTTTAGAAGAGCTAATAGCTCATCTCGATCAACAAAGTAGGCTTCAACCAGCTCACTAGGACTGCTTCCCAGTATGTAGCGTGTGAAAGTAGGAGGGTCCCTCCCATACAGAGCTTTGAAAGGGGACATGCCAGTTGAAGTTTGGTACGAAGTATTGTACCAATACTCAGCCCAAGGTAACATTGCCACCCATTTTTGTGGTTCATCGGCTACGTAGCAGCGGAGATATTGTTCAACACATTTGTTAAGAGCCTCGGATTGCCCATCCGTTTGCGGGTGATAAGCTGTACTCATAGCTAAGGAGGTCCTTTGCAAGCGATTGATTTCTTTCCAAAACTCATGCAAAAATCTAGGGTCGCGGTTAGTGACTATAGACCTTTGAGGGCCATGAAGACGAATAACCCCCACTATCAAGGTCTTGCAACAGTGCGTGTTGAAAAAGTAGAAGTTAAAGGAATAAAGTGTCCATATTTGGTCAAACGATTCCCCACCGTCATAATAGTCGATTTACCTTTTGAGCAAGGTAGGCATGTGATGAAGTCCATTGCTATATCTTCAAAGACTAAATCTGGAATGGGCAAGGGCTGTAATAACCCAGTACGGTGGTGGTGGACGTTTTTCATTTGTTGGCAGATTTGGCACGAAACTACAAAGCTACGTACATCACGCTTCATCTGCTTCCAATAGAAGTTGGATGCTAGTCTGTGATATGTACGAGCTATCCCAGAATGTCCCCCAATGGTAGTATCATGGAATTCATGTTGCAAAAGCTGTCGTAGAGGTGAATCAGAGAGGATAACTAATCATCCCCTAAAAAATAGCAGTCCATCCCGATTACTCCATCCTTGAGCATTTCTGCAACTAATTGTTCCATAACCTGTTTCTGGAAGTACGGATAGCGATAAGGTTTAACATGACTGGCTCGGCCCCAGGATTAAGATGGATTGCATGATCCTGTTGCCGGGGTGGGGGCAGTCCATGAGGTTTTTCAAAGACATCGACAAATTCCTGTAGAATGCCAAGCAATTCCGGATTACTGGGCTACTCAATAGTAGCATGAGGTGGAACTATCTGCAAGCAGTAGTAGGAAGATACAACATCAGTTGCAGCATATCGGCGAAGACTATGCAATTGAACTAGTTGTGCCGAATTGGTGCTCTCTCCTTTCCAAATTCTAGTCATCTCTTGCAAATTGAACTCAAATAGTCGTTCGGCATAATCTTTCACTATCCTTCCCAAAGTGGAGAGCCATGAAGCCCCTAGAACCACATGTGCACCATGCATAGGAAACACGTCAAAGTCCATGGTGAGATTACACTCCTGAACGGTAAGAGGAACTTGACGCACAATTCCTTCACAACGTAATCGCTGACCGCTGCCCACTATAACTCAGAAGGCCGGAATGATTTCAATAGTCAATTGAAGGAATTTGGCCACGTGTGTCCGAATGAAATTATGATCACTACCTCCGTCCATTAAGACCTGAACCAGAGCTCCGATTACATGGCCTAGAAATCGAAGGGTAGACGAGGAATGTCCACCGGCCAACGCGTGATACGAAATTGCAGATTGCTCTTGAACCTCTAGGACCTGCAGCTCTTCAGCTAAGATATCATCAGAGAAGAATGATTCCGGCAAGATAGGTTCCATATCGGAACCATTATTGAGAAGAAGCAACTGAGGAGGCGATTTACATTTATGGCCTGCTGTAAACTTCTCTTCACAATAATAGCATAGGCCGCGCTCACGACGACTTTGAATCTCCGCATGGGTGAGGCGCTTAATTGGAGGTTTAGCTGGTGCCTGGGACGAAGGATTGCTGGAGAACGATGTCGAGGGATTATGGTATGAAGATGAATTAGGGCTGGGTAAGAGAGGAAGTCCCTTATTAGCTAAAGCGGGTCGAACTGGACCCTTCTCAGCCTGGATCCGACGCTCATGTATGTGGGCCTGGTTAGGGCCTCTTCAAATGTTTTGGGCCCGTGGCTTAATACTGAATTTTTGATGTCCTCCCTAAGCCCAGAAATGAAAAGATTCACCATAAGCCTTTCTGAAATATCGTCTGTTTCGTTAGCAATAGACTCAAACCTGCCCTGCAATTCCGACACGGTAGTGACCTGCCGGAGCTTCGCTAACCGCCCCTCCGCTGACTCGAGCCCTTTCTGCTTGAAGCGAATCCTCACCTTATCAGCAAAGTGAGGCCAATCAACTAATTTTTTGTTTCTAAACAACCATCTGTACCACTCCAGTGCTTCACCGTCAAGATAGAACGACGCCACAGTTAACCCCGAATTGAATCATCGATGAAGGCCTTGAGTACTTTTTGGTCTTCCATGAAAGAGGTGGAAAGACTTCTGGATGAAAGCACCAATGAAGCAATTTGTACCACCAACCAAACTAACAAATTATATTACTTCAACTGAAGGATTACAATGATGGAATTGCAAGGAAACCGTAGGTAATATGTAAGAAATAGAGAGTGAGATGAGAAGAGAAGTACCGAAGAAATAGCTGAGAAGAGATACAGAGAGAAATAGATTAGAGATTGCAGAAGCACCAGTGTTTTGGATAGCGTGCGACGACAAATAGCGACGAGGGCCCGCTTCACTGAGGCGAGAGGCGTGCAGCGAAGCGCTCGCCTTTTTGATGTGAAGCGACAATTTATACAAAAACATAAAATATTATATACATATAACTAAAAACTCAATAACAATAATATATTAATAAATATATCATTCAAAAATTAAAGACTCAATAGATAGTCATAGACTCATAGTAGATTCATAAACTAAAGTCTAATAGTCTAAAACAAGCAACGTCTATTCTTCTTCAAGATTTTCAAATTCTACAACTTCATGAATGTTAGCATTATATTGGCTATCATCTTCTTCATCCTCGGAGTCTTCATCAATTAGGGACCGGCTTTAACTTGCTACTCCTTTTCCCTTATAACTTGAAGAACTCCCTCTAAGACCATAGATATTCTCCTCAACTCCAGCCGCCATAGAAACAGTACCCCAATCAAGATCATCTCTTTCATACACTTGTTCATCTTCATGATTTTGGGGGGCTCCAGTTAACCATTCATTTACCTCGTCAATGTTGTCCAACAAAATTGGATCAATGGTATCGCGAGCTTCATAACGTCGCCTCAATGTTCTATTGTATTTAATATACACTAGATCATTGAGACGCGATAGCTCAAGCCTATTCCTTTTCTTGGAGTGAATCTGCGCATAAGTTGTTTAGATTAATTAATCGATACTAATAATAATACAATATAAAATATATTAATATAATAAATCTACTTCTTACATGCTCAAATACGCTCCAATTTCTCTCGCATCCAGATGCACTACAAGTTAGGCTTAGTACTTTGATGGCAAACTTTTGCAAGTTTGGAGTTTGATGTCCAAATTGCTTCCACCATTCAACTATAGAAAAATATTTTAAAAGTTAATAAGTATAAATCAAATAAATTAATTTAAAGTTATAAGGATATCTATATTAAAGTTAGTTATCTGGCGACCTTATGTCTCTGGCTCTAATGGCCGCTTGTAAACCAAATAGGCCCTCTGCTTGTTAGTATCTACCAAACTCCTCCCCTATTTGATCTATCGTCGCTGAATTAGGGACCAACTTCTCAAGACATGCATGGTATCCAATCCAAACCTCTGAAGCCAAAGTTTCATCTCTAGTGTTCTTGTAAAATAATCCCGGGTTCAGAAGATGGCCTGCTGCATGCAAAGGTCGATGGAGTTGATTCTCCCACCTGATATCAACAACAACCACCTAAGTATAATCCCACTAGTGGGGTCTGGGGAGGGTGGTGTGTACGCAGACCTTACCCCTACCATGAGGTAGAGAGGCTGTTTCCAATAGACCCTCGGGCATCCTTCCCTCCAAGAACTCCACACCTTGCTCTTGGGGTGACTCGAACTCACAACCTCTTGGTTGGAAGTGCAGGTTGCTTACCATCAGAGCAACCCTTCTTGTCTATTCTCCCACCTGATATCAATTATCTCAAAAACTTTCTCATATTTTCTAACATCTCCCTCAAATGACGCTGCAATAGTCTCTTTGGCTCTATCCATAGCCTCATAAAGATAGCCCATTGGTGGTTTTCTCTCCCCATCCACCATACGAAGTACCTTAATCAAAGGACCACCAACTTTAAGAGCCCGAACGACGTCATTCCAGAATGATGGAGAAATAAGAACTTTGGCAGTTTCTTTTCCCGCAACTTCCTTTGCATATCTATTATCTTTCCATTCATTTGAAAGAACTAGCTTTCTCAAGTTTTTCTTTTGCAAGTAAAAACTATGCAAAGTTAAGAAAGCCGTTGCAAATCTAGTCTTGGCAGGTCTCACCAAATTTCTTTCATTTGTGAATTTCCTCATCAAATTCAACAACAACGGCCTCTGACTGATGTAAGAATATACCCTGACGGCCTTAGTGAAAACTGTAAAAGTAACAATAACAATTTTATAGTTAATACTTAATAGGATAGGACATAAGTATAAATAACTATATTAAAGTTACCTGAAGCATATGGGTTTTCCTTGAATATGTCACCAAACATCAAGTTGATACAATGGGCAGCACATGGAGTCCAATAAATGTGTGGATACATAGCTTCCATCATCCTACCCGCACTAACATTCTCACTAGCATTATCTGTAACAATTTGTACAACATTTTCCTTTCCAATTTTATCAATAGTCTTTCTAAACAAGCTGTACATTTTGCTTCCATCCGTAGAAGAGTTGCTAGCATCGTGAGATTCAAGAAAAACACTCCCTCTTGGAGAGTTCACCAACACATTTATGATCATTTTTCCATTTCGTGCTGTCCATTTATCCATCATAATGGAACATCCAAACTTGTTCCATTCCACTTTATGCTCCTCAATAATTTGGTCTATATTCTTCACCTCTTTTTTAAGATGAGTTACTCTAACTTCATGATAGCTAGGAGGCTTCATACCTGGGCCATATTGTCCTACGGTCTCAATTAATTTATCAAAAGTTTTGTAGTTAACACAGTTGAAAGGAAGCTCTGAATCATACATCCATGTTGCAAAGGCACTTACGACGCGGTCCCTCAAAATCTTCTTGGCTTCTAAACCTAGACCTTCTTCACCCTTTCCCTTCTCTTGTTGTTTTGCCGAGAAATAAAGATTGAGAGGACCTTTTGTCACTGTATGTGCCGTCGTGGATGACCCACTAGAACTATTTGAAGATACCTTATGAGTTTTGGGGGGGGGGGGG